ATCTCTTTACATTACAAGTGCAATGTGCATTGGAAGATTACTTTCATCCTACCAGTTGACAGGATAACAGAGTACATTCGAAATGGACAGTACAGATCATGGTTGTTCCTGTGATTTGATTATTGTGCTTCCGTCACTGCTCTCACCTCCCCTCTCACTTTCACTCTGTTACTTGTTAAGTCCTCATCCTTGCTGTCTGGTGTTATCATTTATCCCAAGCATTCACTGTTCCCTGACTCAGTGTTAAAAGTTGCTGTGAGACATCCCGACCTGAGTACTCATCATGTCTTTGTCAGTGACACTGACCATTTGTGTCATATAATTTGACACAGCAACAAGCTAATTATTTTGAACACCTCTGTTGCCATCAACCAATGAGGCTGCTGAACAAGCACTTTCTTATATACATATTCTATTAAGTATGTGTGTGTCAGGCATGGCTGCTGCAAACAAAAACAATTGTCATTAGAAGCTCTATTGTAGCTTAATGTTGTAGGTGGAACACAAGAAACACCTCTGCCTAAGCACTGCAAGATGTATTTATATACTGTGTGTATTTTTTTAACAATAGAGAATTATAGTTTTTTTAGGCTGTTATAATTAGATGAATATAAGTAATACATTTTTAAGACACTGTTGTTATCAACGAACATCTGAGCAACTCAGGAGAAAAAATATTTCAGATCTAATTCTACATAAAGTTTTGCAGCCCACAACTTTACAGTTTTGGTTCCCTCTTCCTGCTCGTATCAACCTGGTATACAGCCACAGCAGGCAGTAGTGATGGGAATCATGGCTTCTTAAAAGGGAACCGGATGTTATGGCTCTGTTCCTTTCTGAGATTATTCATTATTCTTTTTTAGGGGGCAGGGGTTACTAGGTTTTTCTGCAAAAATATTACTAGGATAATGATAGGGTAAGATTTGGATCAGATATAAACTTACGACACTTTCCCATTGCTAGTTACAGCTCAACTCGACTCGCTTTTTGTGCCCTGTCCATATAATACCCCCTTAATGTGGCTTGGCGTCATTGCGACGCAACACGAAAGTGCTGTGCCACTTAATTTTCACTGAAACACACACAACGTGCCACACACCTTAATAATAATAAAGTACAGAGAGGATCATTACACTCTGACTAAGCTATTTTAAAATGGCAGGTTTGTTCAGGACACCTTGTCTGGTGCTCGCAATGATGCTGCAGTGAATAGAGATGATTCTCTCTGACCAGTAAGTAGTCTGCAGTTTTTTAACCTTTTGGTATCGCCGCAGCTCGCTTGACCTCAAAGGAGGTGGTACCAAATAACCTACCAGACACCATCTACTAGGTACCAGATCTGCCCAATGGAAATCTAAGAAAGCCGAGTAGAGTCGTGGTGAGTTGAGTTGTGTGGACTAGGTTTAGCAGCAATAAATTACTTGTATTGTCAATGATCTGCATCGTAAAAATTACACAAGGTGATGGCATATCTCTCTGCTTTGTCAGTGAATTTAGTACTTTGAATCCCCCCTGAAATGTGTTATGTAAATTAAGTTGCAACACTTAATATTAGACTCTTTTTTTTTTACTCTGCCCAGCTGATGCGACACCAGCATTTGCCAGGATAGTAATCAAGCAGACCCTCTATCTCAGGGAGTGCATGTATGTCTGTGCCAAAGCTTGCTCATCTTCTCCCTGAGAGGAAGCAGAAGCTTTCAGTCTCCACAGGTGAGCTGCTGATCCGTGAGAAAGAGAGAGTGTGTGTATCTGTGGTCTTTGTGAGAGTGTGTGTGTCGGAAGCGATACGTTCACAGTCTCCGTAGGTGAGCTGTTGATCTGAGTTCTCTGAGTTTCCCTCAACCATCTGCGCAACCCCCCCCCCCAACACACACACACACACACACACACACACACACACACGGGTTAGGTTAGGCACACACACACCCTGCAAGATCATCACATGACTGCAACTACCTGCTTGTTGACAGGGTACCAAATAACGACTTGCCAGCATTAAGGTAAACAAAATGTGCGATTGTATGTATGTGTGCCTGTTTGTGTTTGTGTGCATGTATATGTGAGCGCTGGCTGCTGTCCCATCGTCCAGGCCAAAAAGTCCGGCTCTCACACAGGCTGTCCAGAACACTCTGCTGCCCTGCCAGAGCACTGACGTAGCTAGTTAGCTCCCCTTTCACTCCTTCTCTCCTTTTCTTTTCTTTCTTTCCTTTTTCTTTCCTGATGCCGTGGTGTTTACTGTAACTCTCATTCATATTTGAGTTGTTGTGAGGGCAAGCATTGTGTTATAGTTTCCATCCTGTGCTAATTCGCAGGTTCAAGATTTTTCATAAACATTATGAATGGATTCATCAGGTCTGGTGGGAGCTGTAATGGTGTACAGGAACATTTTCTTGGCAGGCATTAGGCCCTGCAACACCAAGCATCATTTAAATGCTACAGCAAACCTAAACCCTGCTGCTGACCAGGTGTATCCTTCCACAGATGATGTATTTTTCAGGATGATGCACTCTGTCTGTGTTAAAAAATAGCACCAAGGTACATCCCCAGGACAGACCTTCAGCCTCAGGTTCAACATGATGAATGTGTATGTGCAACGCTATTGAATCAGCATCAATCAGGATCCATGTGGAACATTCCAGCACTGTGTTGAATCCATTGAGACCTCAAAGAAAATTATCTAATAATTTTAAATTTTATTTTAAGTCATGTTCAGTTTCTAAATAAATTTATTTTTGACTGGCAGTTGACAAACTCATGGAGTATGGAGGCTTGGGCCCCATTTACACCTAAAATCTTCTGTATCTTGGCTTTCCACTGTGATTTGTTGTGAAGTGCTGCCTAGCATTGTTTCCTTGTGCTACTTTTCTTCATAATATGTACTACTTTCTGTTATTTTATAAGTTTATATTGCGTTTAACTCAACAGTGAATGACTTCACATTCACCAATTCAATGTTCAATGAACGCTGCTCTTACAGCGTCTTCATGCACAACACTGTATGGACACACTGCCTCAATGTGGCATCAAACTTTTGATTTTATTTGCGGAAGACTGACTACTTGCACTTATACTTTCATGTGGTCAAGCACTATCTGATTGTAAAATGCATTTTAATGCCAGATATAAATAGGGGGCCTTGGATGATCATGAAACTGGAATAATCAGTAAGAAAACTAAGCGACTGAGAGCAACTGTAATACGAAATTTGGTTCTGGTACAACAGAATAATAAACATAAATGCCAGATTTCTAAACGTCTTCGAGTATCTTCAACCAAGTCCAGTTGCCTTTGGTTTTAACCTTCATTGGATAACTTTGACTTGAATAACTGAGAACCTTCACAGACATCTTAGTACGCCCTCTTTTTCTGCAATGGTTTAACGGCAACCATCTCCTAACGCAGAATTCCTCAAAATTTGGTCAAAGGTTTGTGCTACTTTTGGATGGAAACCTGATTTCAGACTCGCAAGGAGTGCTTCAGTAAGAAACATCAGCCAAGCTTAAAATTCAGTGACTGCACCGCTAATGGTGAACTGAATCTAAAGATCATGCTTCTTAAAAACCTGATAAAACAATCAACAGGTTAAATGGATTCATTTTAAGATTCTGCCTCAGTGTCAGAAGTGTTTTGTTACCAATTGTGCCAATGAAGCAATTCTACATTTGCTACAGCTGTGATTGCGCCTATAATTATCTTCTCTTCTATAGAAATGATAACTGAGGCTTTCATGCTAATGAGTATCATTGCATTTAGCACTATATGCCATACCAAAGTGACTCAGAAACTGAATTGACCAGGAGGAGCCTGTGTTTCTATTATGAAGAACACTGAATATCACTTAATAAAAACAATGGGAATCTACTGAGAGGGGGTGTATACACCAACTCTTCATAGTCATGTTGAAAGTCGTGAAGTTCGAAATGCAGCAGCTGGTGACGAGGGACATCGAAAAGTCAGATCCAATTGTCTAAGTCAGTAATCAACTTTCTTTTAATGAATACATAGAAAAGATAAGATACTATCCAACCTCAGATCGATTGATTTTGGCAAAATGAGTGAATGTTTCTAAGGCAAAAGAAGAAGGACAATGAAGACACACACACACACACACACACACACACACACACACACATACACACACACACTGCAGGGGAGAGATGTATGTGAATTATTAAAGATTGCCAATTAAACCAGCTGACATTTAGATCAAAAACACCATGACATTGGCCTTTAGCAAGCTCTTTCTTTCTCTCATTCTCTCTCTCTCTCACACACACACACACACACACACACACACACACACACACACACACACACACACACACACACACACACACACACAAGTGCACAAACACTCATTCCTGCACCCTCACAAAGGGCACCAAAGGTAGCAGTGCCCCGTAATAAATGAATTACCACAGAGAAAGGGTCAAACCAAGTGGACTGAGAACAGTGGGGGACATGGGCTGAATGGTCAGTCACATTTTAATTTTTTAATGTTAGTTTAAACCTATTGTATGTTAGTTTAAACCTATTGTAGCTAGTAGTATGTGAGGACAGTGCAGGCCAAAGATTTTTATTTGATTAGATTTTTTTATATATATATATATATATAAAAATAGAAAGAACATATCTGAAAAGATAAAGTGTCACCAGAACATACGCTATTGTCCCATAGGCCTGCTATGGGCCCCATCTCCATTTCGCCCACAAAGTAAAAAAAAAATCTACATACCTGCAAGGAAAAGACAGGTGAAGGTGGGTCCTGATGCCACTTTTTGTGTGTCCTAAGCAATGTTGGGGATAATACTTATGGACTACTTAACATATGGAAATGTGCTTATTTGCTTTTTTGAGTAGATACCCCTTTTATGTCCATTAGCTAAATATGCTTAGTCCAAACACTCAAATGGGATTTTGTGCCTGAATAGTGAATTCCTCATTGTGAATGAAACCATTTTTCTGTTCTATAATTACCTTAGATTCACAAATGTGCTTACCGTGGCGGTGAATCGGTGTACAGGTTGTTGACGTGTGACAGAGTCTCTCTGTATGAATCAAAGTCTAAACCAGGAGGAAAGTCTTCTAAGCAGGTAGATCTCAGTTCTCCTACTGAACCTCCATAGGAAAAACCATCCAGACCTGCAGAGACAGAGACGTGAAGCTAAAACCCTGTTTGAATGAGAGTTTTATCATCTGGGGACTTCCAGTAGTATGGCAGCAATTGAGGTAATGGATGCAATTTTTCTTTTCTTGTGCACATATTTCATGTATGTTTGCAAGTTGTCTTTTCAGAGCTAACAACACTCAAGCTGATACATCCCTTGTGATGACCGATACAAAGACAGAACAAGATAACGAACTGAAAGAATTGAAATGGATTAGGTAATGTGCTTTTTCTATTAATCCATTTAAAGTCCTGGCAAAACTATTGTTAAATATTTGTTCAGTGCATTGAAATAGTTACATTCTCTTGGGAAAATATAAGCCTACTAGAGCTTTTGGAAGCAAGTTATGTGCATGAAGATGTGGGTGTAGTAAATTTCAGACCAACATGAGCAAGAAAAATGTGCCAGCCCCCACAAAAGAAATGGGACTGAAATTTGTCAGAAATCTTAATATCATAACAGCGCACTTTTTCTAAGTTCAAAACGACTTAATGTTCTGATGACTTACATCCATGGTTCATATATGGACTTTATTAAGTGTGTTACTATAACAACTACAACCTTAGATACCTGAATACTATTCAGTCCTTTAGAGACAATGAAGCTGTGTGTTGTGTTCCACTGCCCCACAGAGAGCCCAGATCAAGATGACAAATTTTGAAAGACATGTCAGATCACATGTTTTACCTGGTTACTCAATCACTTATATTACTAATTAATTAGTTAGTTGGTCAGCTTGTCAAAAAGTTACAAGTTCAGTCACAGACCGTAGCTAGCTCGGAGGTGTGGGTTTCGGAGTCGACTGTCTTTGCGCAGGCTGCCGACGATGATGGTGATGCAGGAGAGGAAGAGGACCAGACCTATAACGATCCCCGCCACCACCAGCGGAGACACCAGGAGAGACGCCTCCCCTCCTGACTCCCTCTCACTCCGGCAGTCTGGGTACTCCCCATGGCTCTGGTTGGAGCTCACTGCAGGGAGATACAGATAGACGTGGATCAGACTTAATTATGTGTGACCATCTAAGTTATTATATATTGGAAAATAGTTTTCTGACAGATTTTTCAGAATTCACAAAGTCATTTTTGAAGGACTTTAAGGGGCAAACTGTGAGAGGGATACTACTGATACACTGACATACAAAATGTAACCCTTTGGTACATGGCGTTCTGATCTGAACATAACATTGAGCTTGTTCATCTCAACTGTTACAATTGATCATTACGACAGTAGTGCACCAGGGGGCCGAGTTACCTAACTGCTGTCTTGCCCTGCACACATTGTAAAGTCAAGGACTTATTCCATTTCAGTTTGTGACAGATAATTAGAGCTAGAGTGTATGCACACACACACACGCACACTAACACACAATTTGGCTCTCAGCCATCATCATTGGATTACAGAACGCTCCTGTTTCTCTCCATTTCTGTTTAATGTCTCATCTGTCTGTTTGTTCTTCCTGTCCTCTGTCTTCCTGTTTGTCTGTCTTTATCTGTCTTACTGCCAGTCACTCGTGATCTGTACACGTCCGTCTCCTTTCTCAGCCCCACAGCTGAGAAAAATTTAAAAAATTTCATATTATATATATATATATATAATTGGGATTTCATGTCATGTGACTTGATTAAGATTTAAATATAATCAAACCAGTAGGTGCATCATTAACATGGCAAAAAGTTAATCCTATTTATATAAGTCAATTTTGTATTGTTGGCAACCCAGAGCTGGAAGAGGGGGGCAGTCAAAACAAGAGCACTAATCAATTCAGCAAGTGCCCCAAGAGGTCAGAACCCTCTAGCAGCCCAATTAATTCTGAAGGGGGCAAATGAGGAAGTCAGATGACATTGTCATAGATCCACAAAGTCCGTGTGAGGACGAGGTCAGGGTGGATCGATGGGTCAACAAAATATTACATTTTAACATGATCGCTGTTCATTTCCTGTTTCCTACCATCAGTCACTGTTAGTTTCTTTAACCATTCTGACCTTAAAAGTGTTTCATAATGTAACAATGACAATGTTGTCTACATAGTAGTCATTTTAACCAAGAAAACAATTATGAAACAATGTATTGTTCTCGAGGGCAAGGACTAGTGATGTAATTTGTTTGTTTTTTTAAGTGTTTATCTATCATGTACATCATGTATGACACATTTGCTCAAGAGTCTAAACAATGAATTCACAATCAGGAATAATTAACCCCCCTGAAAGATGGGGTTCTTGGTGCTGCATTTGCTGCATTACAGCAAAACAGATAAATACAGAGGTACAACAGGCAAAATGAGTCTGTTTTTCATCAAATATACTTTATGAAACATTTAATGTATCTATGTATCTCTCTTGATAACCCAGACACTGCAGATCCAGTTTGGCCATCATAATTCCAGCAATTTCAAAAATACACCAAGGTAACTACAGGAGGTGCATCAACTGTAGACTGACCCAGAGGGAGACTGCCTCCTTTGTGTCAGAAGACATGTTTCCTGCTGTGTTTTGTCTCTCTTTCTGTCTATCACTGCTCTGAATATAAAGCAGGAGAACCTATCAAAATTGCAAAATGACTTACACTCACAATATAATTTTCGCTTCAGTCTATGTGCTTCTCTATTGCTCATTTCTCGTCTCTTTCCGCCCCGAATGTCTGCTTCTGTTATTCTGTTGTCTACAGTAATTTGGTTTCACACAGATTCCCGAGAAGAGGAAAATGTTCTCTCACCCCAAACGATTCCCTGCAGACCTCTCTCCTCTCTCACACACTTCTTTGTCTCCTCTTTCTCCCTCTCCTAACATGATTTTCTCTTCATTTCGCTTCTCATCTCTTCCTCATAAACTCCATTTTCTGTCGTTCTCTCCAGAGAGAACTCACAGGGAAATCTATAATTATATAGGTTTAAATTCACATAAACTTCCATCCTCTGAAACACTACTAAGACACATACACACATGCATACAATACACGCACACACACTCACACACAAGGAGCCGACAAAAATTATCTTGGTAGCTCTACTTATCAAAAAAGAAAAATTTGTTAAGCCATGCATGACTCTAGCATTGTTGTTCTGTCAGTCGTTCCACCATTATGACCCAGACTGAAATATCTCTACAATTAATAGATGGATTACCATGAAATGTTGTGGTTTCTATTGAAATATCTCAACACTGATGGATGGATTGCCATGAAATATGCTAAATACAATCATTTCATTTGGACTGATTAGCCGTCCTGTCTACCTGCCTACCTGCGCACGCTCTGCCCGTGCACTGTGTTTGGGGGAGTTTCTTTGGAGGGGTGGGATTTTTCATTTGGATACTTGGTACACATAGGGGCTGTTGAAAGGTTGTTACAGTAGACTCCTGGTAAATCAGGTGAAGTGATATTTATATTACCTTGCGTACAGACTGATTAATGTACTTGCGCTTTAGACGTTTTTTGACATTGTGCCTTTAAGTGATGCAGACAGTGGAGCAACAATGGAGAGAAAAGGCAGCCACACAATAATTTGGGGAGAGTGTGGAAGATAGAAAGAGAGAGAGAGAGAGAGAGAGAGATTGTAATAAATGGTGATAGTGTCATATTTCAAAACCCTGGGGGGACTGCACCCAGCTGCAAAGAGAAAGCAGAGAAAGAGGAGAGACATTTTGTTTGTATGCGTGTGTGTTTGTGACTGTCGTAGTATGAGTCCCTGAGTGTAAAATATTATCCCTACATGCTCATCCTATGAAATAAATCAGTAAATGAACAGAGGGAAGCAGGTCAACAAGAAACCTATAAATCTTGAGACATCCAGCAAAATGTCATTAAGCTTATGTGCACTAATAGTGTTGCACATTATTTGTCTCGGAGAAGCTGCCCTTTATAAACATTCATTATGTAAATAAGGGTTATTGCTTTCTTGGCCAGAAAGAATTTTATTTCTAGGTAAACATTGTTTAAACTGATGAGAGATGACAAGAGAGTGTGTTGGCTAGATGCCATTTTGCTACCAAACTGCCACAAAAACACACATTAAGAGAAGCTACTGTAACATTAATTTTTGATTTAAGAATGGACTATTTCTAAAGAGAAGTGAATTTACTTAAATGCAGAGCATCTTGAGAGCCAGCATTAAGCAGCTAACTGTGATTCTTCATCCCGCAGCCATGTGGAACAATATCACAGAAAACTGCAACTTCTTACTTTTAAATCAAGCTGAATCTTTTTGGTTTGCCACTGCCTTCTAATAAATACAATAATAATACATTTCTTACACTGCATTGTAACTTCTGTTAGGTAGCATTATCAACATTGTTATTTTTTTCACACCATAACAAACACCGTTCTCGCAGGTGAAAGTATGGCGTCTGATCCATCAAACCACCTCCCTACTCTGGGTTTTCTGTTACCTTTTTATATTGGGCCTACTTATAGCATTCAACAATGGCACTAAAGGGGTACCCTGTGCGTTGAACAATGATGCTAAAGGGCTTCCCAGTTCATCACAAATTGACGGCAAGGGGTCTTGACCAAACGTCCATATTTGACAACTTGGGGGTGAAAATAGGTTGGAGAAACACACAGTGACCTCTACACTATTTTGATAGTGCTGTGTGTGAAGGAGTAGATGGTACATGTTCATATATAATGAAACAAAACAAACCAACAGAGGTTATTCACTTTGACAGCTTGTCAGTAATGCTTACTGTTGCATGCACACACCTCTAACGCCGTATACTGTAGTGTGTTACAAAAAACAGTTCATAATCCTGATGTTGACTGTTGACCTGAGGCTTATTTACTGCCTTTTAATGTGAATGATGTTCAAGTTGCTTTTGTATTTTCACAGTAGGAAGCTGTTTTTACAGTCTGTAAGCAGAACTACAGCTTCACTTTGACTTCATCCACAAGAGGATTCATCTTTTTCACCGGACTGCATAACATCAGACAATAACTCTGTGGAGAGCTGCTGCAGGAGAGATAAAAGGGGACTTGTGCCATGACGTAAACTGCAACTGCCAATATCATGATCACATTATTATTTTTACATAATCAAACCTCCGGAACCTTTTAAAACCCTGGCATGTTCGTTTATAGTGCAAGTTCAAGAACAGTGGAAAATTCTTTTAGGTTAATGTTGCAGCAACACTCAATTATCTTAGGAACAAAAATAACATTGTAGTAGTAGAAGAGATCTGCAGAGCCTGCATTGGTGTCATCATGTTGCTGCAGGTACCCACGAGAAGATGAAATGCTGGTCATGTCATGGTAAGAGTTTAGCAAGAATCAACTTTTTTATAACACAACAATTCATTTTTAATAACCTCTGCATCCGGACACCTGCTGTGCCATCATAAAGCCTCCTTATTTATTGAAACGAACACAGGGGCTGCATTTCTTGACGCTGTGCTATTGGCGGTTCTCTGGGAGTTGACAAAAATCATTCTAGCTAACTGAAGACACGTAGCCAACTGAAGGACACTGAGTAATAAATTGTCCAACAAAAATATTAATTGCATTGTCTTTCTTGGATTTCTTCAGCCTGAAGTCAAAATGAAGCATTTAGAGTGATTAAATTATACATGACATTTAGCTGACGCTTTTATCCAAAGCGACTTACAATTGCTTTATATGTCAGCGGTCGCATGTCTCTGGAGCAACTAGGGGTGTCTTGCTCAGGGACACAATGGTGGATATGTCACAGTGGGTAATCGAACCCAGGTCTCTCATACTAAAGGCTTGTGTCTTATCCACTGCCCCATCACCACCTTGTAGATACAGTTAAAATATGATTATTTAGTATCATGTTCAGAAATTTACATTTATGCTCCATTTCTTAGTTAAAGATATATCTGTTAGGCATCTGACAATGACAATCAAGCGAGACAGACAAAAAAATATTTGTGTCAAAGATTAACATATAGGTCCTGTGTGTGTGTGTGTGTGTGTGTGTGTGTGTGTGTGTGTGTGTGTGTGTGTGTCCATCTAGATTGGA